AACCAGTCTGGGATTCGATGATTCTATGAATCTGTGCTGAGAGACTGAGAGCAGAGCCCCGAAATGAAGCTGACTCCAGAGCTGGTTTATGCCCTTGTAAAACAGGCTCACTTTTAGGCAGCTGGATCCATGGGAGAGGCAAGCTTTGTGAGAACATGCAAGTCATAGTGCGTGAGCTTGTAGTTATAGATCAGAGATCAAAACTGCTGCTGCCAAAGGTAGGGTGAAAACGGGGTGGATTTCAACACCACCACCCCTCCTCTTTTGTATTGAGCAATTGAAAGTAACAAAACAGGCTCTTCTGACTTACGGAGAGTGAGAAATTACACGCTTTGGAGAAGTCAGGTTTTCCCAAGAATTAAGGTTATATCTCAGATACAGCCCTGATATGTGTTGCTTTATAATTTAAGTAAAATCTCATTCAGATACTGCTTAGCGTTCCTCGTAACGTTCACCGTTGTATCACAAGTGGCCCAGCCCAAGCTCTTGGGACCACTGACTCAGACCTTGATAGACCGAGGCTGGCTCACAACTGGTCACTTTTTGGTTCTTTGCCTCCTGCTTTGCTGCTACGCTCAAAGCCGTATTTTCCATTGTTTCCCTGGAACCACAGGGACCACAAACTTTACAGCATTTTCTTTTCCAAATGGAAGCTTAGATCCTTAAAGGAGTGGCTGGTTGAGAGTTCAGGAAACAACACGCATACAACAAAGCTGGTGACACAGCTTGGCTGGTTCTTCCTCTGATACACAGAAACCACTGTTGGATGGGTTTGACGTTGGCTTCCAGCTCTTTGGTTACTTGATTTTATCAGCGTTGAAAGAAAAGCAACCCACAGGACCAGCTGATAAGGAACATAGAGAACTTCACCAACAAACTTCTTATGAACTTGCCCAGCTCCTGGAGAAAAGGTCATGGGGAAGATTGAGCATGTCCCATGCCATCAGGCTCTAAAGGACACAGCAGGCTCACATCCAGACCTCCTCGGGACAGCACTTTGATTTTAAGCCCTCACTTGAGACATAAGCCTGCGTCGAAGTGCTGCCCCGCAGCGTCCCTGGCCGCAGGAATTCTCTCCTAAATCAGGACAACGTTCAGCAGAGCCCAGGCTTATTCCTTTGATCAGGGTCATTCCTGATGAGATCTTTCCACATGTTTCCGTATTTTGGGGGCTGTGCCAGACCCAGAGCCGCACACAGCCTTCGCTTCTCGACAGCTCACAGCAACCGTCTCTTAGCCCTGTGCAAGAAACACCCTAAATTCACACAGCCCCAGAACAGACACGAAGCATTTCCAAAGATGCTATCCAAATATTTCCTAGAAAATTAGTCCCTCCTGAGAACACGGTTTTAATTCCCTGCAAGGTTTGATCATCCGCTGCAGCACATGCCTTGAGCCGGAATCCCAGCTGCCTTCCACAACAGAGCGCTGTGAATTGCACAATCCCAGCTTCACCGCAGGATTTGGGAAAAGGAAGGAATAAAACTGCCAGATGAGGAAGGGTCTACAGCTCCTGCAGAGTTTTCGGACGCAGGATCTGAGCATCACCCTTTATCCCTCTACCAGAAGGCATCTCATGAAACCATGCACTCCAGCAGCACCTGTAGTATCGTTGCACGCCGCCTTCACTTGGCTTACACCAATGCTGGCAAAGCACTACGATGTTACCAGAGCTTTGCAGAACACAGGTGGATTTTAAAACATTTGCTGCACGGTTTAGGACAGAGTCTTACTTCCAAGCATGCTTCCCATTTCTGCATAGCAAACCAATTTCTCTCCTATAAGTTCTCCAAGTTTCCAGGAAAATGCTCATTCGTTGCCCTAGTAATACCATTCACCTCCTTGTAATAAATTTTAATTATGATTTTTCCGACGAGCCTCTTTTAGATTAGACCTGCTGAAGAGCTTCCTAACATAGTTCTGACGTTAAGTGCTGGAAAAAATCCAAGGCTTTATTTAACTGGACATCTCCTTGCTCTGTTTCAGTTAACTAGAAATGGCAATGACACAGTGCATTGCTGGTTCAGGTTAGAGCAGGAATTTTTGCTGTGAGAAAATCATTGGAAATTCCAGATAAGTTTGCAGGCTGATAAGAGCAGCAATGTGGTTTCCCTGATTCTGGCTTGGGTTTGGTGCCAGAACAGCTGGCTCCAGCTTTCTGCTCCCTCAGGTTGCTCTGCATCAGGCTTGAACACCCCTCAGGTTATGGGCGGTGAAAGCATCCCGTATTTCATCTGCCTTGGCATCTGCGGCTGAGTTACCCCAGACTGCGGATGCCATTCCAGATTGCAGACTGAGCGTGCCCTGAGGGAAGAGGCAATCTTGCGGGCTCCACAAAGAGACGTCTGGAAACCTCCAAGACTCTTGTTTGCACAGAAGGAAATGAACTACTCAAGTCTTCTCAGTTTTCTTAAGACTTTTATGTTGCAAAAGAAAAAAATTCAAACAAACTTGCTAGAGCATTCTTTAATTACAGTGCAGCAAGAAGGGCAGTTAGCATCAGTGATTTCTAAGAGGTCCCATGAAGAACGGCAGGGAGGTTGGAACCAGATGATCTTTGAGGTCCTTTCCAACCCAAATCATTCTATGATTCTATGATTCTATGAGTCTGAGCTCACACCTCCAGCCGGATCCAGGCAGGTTCCTTCCATGAACCCCTCTCACCATCCCCACGTTGTCCAAGGTCCTACCATAGGGCTAATCCAGTCTCCACCACCGCAGAGAGTGGAATATGAGGGATAGAGGGGAGATTTTTGGAGCTCAGCTGATGAAAACCAGGGAGAAATGGGCTAAAGATTTTTTTTTTTTTTTGAGATCAGTAAGATTGTCTGCTGTATTTAACAGACCCTCCAGAAGAAGGCAGGCGGATTAGCTGGCAGCCAGCTTGGTGAACACAGCCCAAGTGTTTTCCGGTCGGGTCCAGACGTGTGATTTTGTTCTTACCTCTGAGCACAGTGGATTCCCTCTGGATCTCCTCATGTGAGAAAGCAGCTTGGTTTGCATTGAACCGAAGTTTACAGCCCCAACGGAGCTTCAAAATGAAAAACAGTCTGAAATGTTGATCTGAAGAAAGATCAGAAAATTCTCCTTTTTTGAATGCAGCAATTCCCAGGGGTAGCTGGTAACTGAGAGACCGTTGGGTTGTAGGTCCTAGCTCTCCACTGTGGATTTGACAGAAGCATGACATGATGTTCCCTTCCCAGACTGACTTTATTCCGTCGCCCTTGTTAACACATACGATTGCCACATGAAAAACCACCATAGCTCTTGGGGCCATTTCTCCCTCTTTCAGAAAGGCTGTGGAAACCCAATGGATGCTGGAACAAAGCTATGGCATGCAAGGAATGATTCCGGAGCAGCATCGGAGTGACTAACAGCACCCTAGGCAGCAGGCAGGGGAGGGAGAGCACGACGGCTCCGAATTTCAGCCACTCTGCTGTCCCAGCACTGGCCAGGACTATACTGGTCAAGAATACAAAGCGAGACAAATTCAAACAAGTTCAGAACACTCCTTCCAGCACCTTTGCTTAACATTTCTAGCTGATGCCCACCGCTCTGGGGGCTTTGCCCACCTACTTCAATGTGGATTTTATTGAGTTATTTGCATTTCATTCCTTTTGGTGTTAAAAATTTGTATTTTACCTTATTGCTGCTTTGCTTTTTTTAAAAAAAAAAAGGTTTCAGATTGTGCATTGGTTGCAAGGACTGGGACTACCACGTTTGCAGAAGAAGGAGTCAGGAAGATAACTATCAGTGCAATAGAGAAAAGGGCTTTCTTTAAGAAAGAGTGTTGTGATATGTTGTACATGGTCTACAAGAAGAGGCTGACGGATCTGAGCTTGTTCAGTCAGAGGCTAAGAGGGGATTTAATGGCAGCCTACAACTACTTTGAAGGGGACTTCTAAAGAGGACAAAGTCTTCACGGTAAGAGGCAGGAGATACAACGGGGACAAGAGGCACAAATTGTGGCTTGGTAAGTTCACATAGGACATCTGCAAAAATTTCTTTGCAGAGACAGGTCGCCCAGGGCATTCTTGTTTTGTACTGCGCCAAGCACGACGTCTCAGTGGTACCACGCCGGGTGTAGGAAAGACGCCGGGCAGCTGGATGTCCTCCGAGCCAGGAAAGGGACCTTAGGTCCCACATCTGGAATCACCCACAGTCTTCTACTTGCAAAAATAAAAAGGGTGGTGCCAGGCGGGCTGTGATATGAGCAAACACACTTAGAGAAAATGAAACACGGAAGAACTTCCAAGCACCTGGAACCATCCCTCTCCCATCAGGAACGAAACTGAGTGTTTAATCCACACGTACCACACTAACCTTCAGTAGTGGCTGTGCTAAATACTCCTAGAACAGAAGTGTGGTGGTAGGAGGACAGCTCAGATGGAAACTCTCCTCTTAAATATCCTTCTGCTTCCTCAATCGTGGCCAGCTTCAGAGGGCAGGAAACTCGGCTCCTGCAGAAAGGCAGAGAAACAACACGGGCTGCCTTCTTCTGCACTTTTTGGGGTGAGGAGACAACAGGGCAACCTCAATCCTTACTATACTAACAACACCCCACCCCGATATGACAACCGTTATGCCGCATTAGAAACAAAAATTGGTTGCCTGGGAAGGAAGGGCAATGCCTAGTCACAGAAAGGACTGGCTATGGGGAAGAGAAGACAGCCCTGAGCCAAACTGGCTGCTCTGAGATCCTTGGGATCCCCGCTAAAAACAACAGAGAAGGAATTCCAGCAAAGAGAGAGGGACAGGGACAACAGATTGAACACATTGTGAAAGAATAGATGTTCCCTGACCTTGAAAAGCACGAGAAGTTATTAAGCTAATTTCCAAACCAGGTCTTCAACCAAATCTGACATTATTTTTCCAAAACAGAGTTCCATTATGCAGGCCATGAAGTATCCAGAACATCACCCTGCAGATGTTCCAATCTTGCTGCACGGGGAGTCGTTAACAGACACTTACAGCATGATGAAGCTGGTCAGTTCTTCGGTTCCCCACATGCCATTGTACATCACTGATCGCTCTCCCTTCTCGTAAATCCTGATGGTAGGAAACTGAGTGACGTTCTCCTTGGTGCAAATGCCAGGCCAGTCCCAGCAGTTTACCCGAGACAGCAAAACCCCTCGAGTTCCTAGAGTGGAAAACAAATATGTACAAATAATATGGGAAAAAAAAAAAAAGAAATGGTTGGAAAAGAGAATTTTTTGTCAGCTTCTTTGGATATTATCACATATATTTGTATTAATGCTGCCAGAAGTCCTATTTTCTTTGGTGTGCATCCTACAGGGCTGGATCCTAACACATGGCATGCACAAGGAGCGAGCCCAGGTGGGCTACCACTGAGAAGTTGCTGGATCATTCCTGGAGTCAAATCCTGCTTTGTGTGGGCAGGATGTCAAAATCCAGCCCCGAATACACAACCCCTTTGAGTACAGGCTATCTCCCTCTTGAAATCATTCATGGATATGCCTTACAATTTTGAGCATAATAGTAACTATTTCCAGCCTGTGAGTGTATTAAATACCCCAGAAGGTATGGATTGATACAAAAAACAGACCATGGAGAGAATAAACTTGGGAAATTGGTTAGGCTGCACTTCTCAGAAGGAAACTCCCAGAGACATTCCTATCTGGCTGGTTACTCAAAGGAATGCCATGAAACCCTGAGGCGACTGTCCAGAAGCATAAAAAGCAGAAAGGGAAGGTACTGGAAATACCTTAGGAATAAGGCCAAGACAAAGAAACGATGCAGGCCTTCGCTTACAGGAAAGAGGAAAGATAAAGCTTGGGTGGAGGATGCTGATGCATTCAAGACTTCTTCATTTATTAAGGTGCCCAGTATTGAAAAGTGTGTGTTCTACCTAAAGCTCCTGCAAGGAGGAGGTAACGGTCACATAAACAGGACAGGTGTAATAGAGGCTGGCAGTCTGATGGCATTCACCCCCTCCTGCCTACGCAAGCTGCTCATCCCCAAGCCACCAGCAGGTACCTTTAGGACCTTAAGAAAGAGACTGGGATCCCACAGGTAAGGGAGAGGGAAAGGGAAAGCACTTGGGAATTACAGAATGGTCAGTCCAACTTTGGTTCCTGGTACAAAAAAGCTTTTTACAGGTCTCACCAAAGCAATAAATTCAAGGGATTCATAAGCAGTGAGACAAATGAAGGTTGGTTCCTTCCATTGCTGAGCCCAAGACACAGCGTCCTTATCAGCCTTTCCTCCATCTGCAGGTTGGGTGATGACCAGCATGCGCTGCTGCTGGTCCATGGCTAAGTGTGTGCTAACCAGCTGGCAGGTGAACCATCATCACCAGCTTCACTAGCCACCACCCCTTGGTTGCCAGCCTCGCCTAACCTGCCTCCTACCTACTTGCAGGCTTGACCGAGGACAGCAGGGCTGGGTACAGTCCTCAGGCTGTACCTCATCCATGCCCGCTGCAGGAATGCCCTATCTCAGAAATCTTCATGCCTTCCCTAAATTTGTTTGAACAGGATTCAAGAGTTACATGGGAAAGATGGGATGAAACCTAGAGACAAGTATGGAGGCAGACCATCGCAAAGTGTCCTTCAGAAACCAGGGTCAGGGCAGGTGATGAGGATTTCTCAAGAGTACGGTAGATCAAAACAGCCAAACTTTCTTCTCTGCCTGTCCCAGGTTTGATTCTGATCACTATTTTCATTAAATGCGTGGCTGATGGAATAAAACACACACATCCAATCTGCAAATGAGCCCAAGCCCAGAGGGGCAGAAAGCAATTTAAAGGCCAAAGCGTTATAACAGCTGCGTTCTGTAACGAGAAGCAGGGTGCAGAGATATCATCAGTGCTGCAGAAAAGGGCAAAGCTCATTCTGGGATGGACTCTCAACAGAGTCTGCAAGACATGGGAGGAAAATGATGCTCTTCTGTCCCGGTGAGACATCTGAGGAGTCCAGCAAGTCAGGCTGGGAAACGTCATTTTGGAGATGTGTAAGCAGATGAGAGAGAATCTGGAGATGGGAGATGTTTGGAAGACATGTCTCCTGAGGGAACTGGGTTTCTTTTGATGGGAAACTGCCTGGAAGAAAGAAACAATAAAACCTAACAATACGTAAAGTCTGCTCTGGAGGCAACAGTGAGAGAGATCACTGTCTGTTGCCAGCTGGGCAAGGACAAGCAACAACCCATTCCCACATAGGGAGGTTTGACCAAATATTAAAACAAACTACTGAGAACCAAGCACAGCTGAGTCTTTTTGGCAGAGAAGCTGTGGAAGGGTTTTAATCACAGGTTAGAAACGTGCCTGCCAGGGATGGCCAAGGCATCCCCGCAGGCAGAGGTGACCTTCTCTTCTGTTCCCATCCCCTTTTCCTTGGCATCCCACTGGACCATTTTCTGCAACCCTCATTTTAGGTTCTGCTTTGCAGCTCTTTCACACGAGGAGTTCGCTGCTGGTCTGCCTTGTGTCAAACACATGTACAGAAAAAGCAAGCGGCAGCACGGAGCTAAAGGTCTGCAATTCTACTCAGTCAGGAGCTGTCAAAACACTCCACAAGAGCAGAAATGGTTTGTGTCATTCTCCAGGTTCTGAAATAACATCTCAAATTAAAAGCCTGCCCCTGGATTTATTTCACACCTCTGATTCAGTGTAACTGGTTCTCATCATCTGTTACCACATAATCTGGTGTCTTGCCCAACTCTGAAAAATAACGACACAGAAAGAGGGCTTTGATGTCTTGTTAAAATCGAGTTGCAAGGCTGCTCTAAGGTCCCTTAAATATGAGTTTCGGTATTTGGATACTGCCTTGGGGGATTACGTAGCAAACGTGACCGTGATCTCCAAGGGAGCCCCACTTGGCCTGAGGAATGCGTTGTACAGGACGATCGCTCTCCTATCCCAAGCTGCACCATATTAATTATTAATTACTGGACAAGCAGCAGTTTCAGGAGTTGAGTAACTCAGCAACAGACTCTTCAGCCCTGTGGTGACTGTTGAGCTGCTGGATGGGAAAAAAGGTGAGAGAGAAACACAAGATCCTATTGTTCTGTGATTTTAGGTGCTACTAAAACCAGCAACAGTGAGAACCTCTGTCCTAGGGGTCTTAGAAAACCAGGACAAGACAAATCACCAAGGCTGTAAGGAACAAGAAAAATCAAGAATCCCTTAAACTTCTAATTCTTTGGAGGGCAGGACTGGCATTAAAAACAGCTGACTTGAAGAGCTGGTCCAAAGGCTACAACATGAAGGTTCAGAAGTAAGTTATGTTTGAAGTGCTGCATTTCAAGAGGAGGAATCCAATACAGAATGGGAAACGACTACCAGGATGGCATCACACAACGGGCTCTTAAACCCTTACTTCAGATTTAGGTTCCTTGAATCCTTGAATATACATTGCTAAATCATGCAAGTGATTTTCATGCTTTGAACTACACCTTCAGAACCTTGTCTTTGGAAGTCATTGGTAAAGACGACTCCACAAGCACAAAAAAGGGAAGCAGAACTGTTTTTTGTCACAGTATAGTGCTCTTCTAAGATACTGGTTTCCTCTCTTCTTTGTAAAAAAAAAAGGCCAATGACACACCTAAGAAATGCTCAGCACTGTCTCACCTTCAGATCCTCTTCTCCTGCCCCAGAAATTCACACCTTGCAAAAGAAAACAGGAGCTCCAGCAGTTAGCCCCAGTGGCAGTGAGAATGGCACTTGCTGCAAGAGCAGAAAATGTTCTCCGTTCAGCAGCAAGACAGAGCTGCTTCTCTTTATCTCACGCTAGACTGGCTCTCGCAACAAAGGGAAAACTCTTGGGGGGCTATAAACTTAATTTTGTGATGATCTGCTGAACATCTGTTACAGGATGATTCACGGGCCCATTCCAGACTCCAACCTCCTCCGTTGCCTTGCGCTTGATCTCATATGGCCTATTCTCAGCACGGAGAATTGGCATCAAAAGTGGGACCTGGTTCTGCAACTCAAAATGTGCCTCTAGAGCAGGTGATTCATGCCTCAGACAGCTGGTCTTGGCTTCTCAGCCCTCAGGAAGAGAGCTCCAGCCCAGAGAGCAGACAGGAATACCCGCACTTCTGGGGGAGCTGAGAGATTGCCCCAAAGCCGTATCGGATGTTTTATTCTCAGTCCTGCACAGATCAAGCTCTTCTTGCTGATCCCGGCTTCTTCCTCTTGCACTGGTGTATCTTCCCTCATCCTGGCCATAACTGAGGGCCTGGGGACCCCCATCATTTTAGGTCTTCCAGCTCCCCTTGTAGCCCTGCCTGCAACTGAGGCTCCCTCAGCAGCAGAGACAAAGGATCTCCAGATCTCCAAATCTCCGGATCTCCAGATCCACTAACACAGCCGTTCTCCATCCTCTCTTAGGCCGGAGAAAGAAAAGCAGGCTGGAGTCATTCCACAGGTCACATCTGGCCTGGGAGTCTTTGGTGGGACCTCGCTGATTGCAGAGGAAAGGCCCTGACCCCAATCAGTTCCTCATCTGTGTTGAGAATCTGCCCGTTGCTCTTCCACGTACTGAGATTGTTATCAAATGACTCAAGAAAAACATGGTGAAAGCTTGGCCGCGCACAGCCAGCCAAGGTTTGGCCAGTGGCTCAGGAAGAAGCAGGGTTTCATCCACTGACTCTCCCAGGTTGCTTCTCTAGCTGGTCTGACTGCTGGGGAGTCTAAAAGAAACCCCAAACCATCAACAGCCATAACATCTCTAACAACAACAACCCTCCCTGAGCTTTGCTGTTTATTCCCGGGATTTCAGTCCAGATCAAAGCTGCTGGTGACTTTCCCTTCATGCAAATTGTAAGTGCAGAACTGCTTTCATCCAAACCACAGCACTGTCCGCAGCGTTCCCAGGAGGGTTTCTTGTAAGCAACTCCCACTGCATCTGCTTCCCAGAAAGCTGGCTGGGTGCTCTGCAGACTCTATAAATGTCTCTTCTGCTGAAAGCTCAGCCTGAATCCTGCTTGTACTCTGTGCCCAGTCCCCGGGGAGTGCCATCGCTAGGACAAATGAGCCTTGATGAAGAAAAAAAAAACCAAGAGAAGACACCAGCCACTCCCAGGGGTGCCAGAACAGCTCTGGCCCAGAGCCATGCGACTTCCCCACTGTGCTGACATGAGTTGGGGATGAAGCCAACTGAGTGTTCCCTGCAGACAGGCAAAAAAAGAGGCACCTCTGGAAGAGATTCAGCTCATGTAAGCCTGATGGATGTGCAGAAGAACCCACCTCTCTCCACTGACCACAGAGAGGGATGGGGCTGAAGCCCTGAATGAAGCTGAATTGGGGCTTACACTGCTCAGGAAATATCACAGACCTTCTTGAAGGACCAGTCCCTCCTGTGTTTCCTACCAGACTACCTGGTGTGTGCTCTTTAAGTGTTGCAGATTCTTCACCATCACGTGTTATTTATGGAGTATTTATGGCCGCCTGCAAGACTTCCCATGTAATTAAGCCAGTCTCCAGGCCCTGAAGGCACCATCATTGTAAATTCTTCCTCTGACACGGTCCTACCTTGGTGGATCTGGACTTGCCCACACCTGTCTGCCATGCTTTCCACCAAAACCAGGGCCAATTGCTGCTCCGTTCCAGATCAAGTATTTCCAAGGGCAGATCTGATATGCCTCCCAGCACATTGATTTGTTCTGCAGCATGTAGTATGTCTCCTTGAACCGAGGGGCACAAACAGGACCCCATTTCCATGATGCAGCACCGGCTGTTTGCCCCTCCCTGGTCCAAAGCCCACCCTGTGTCACCCACTGCTGCTGGTGCTCTGCCCTGGCCTTCCCCATGCTGCTGGGCATTCATCACGTGGTCACTCTGCCCACCACCGTCATCATCACCACCATTCATCACGCAGTCACTGTGCCCACCAACATCGCCATCGCAGCTGCAAGGCAGTTTGGGCAGCTGGTGTGTACCAATTTACACCAACAACAGAAGGTGGTTGCAGAAGGCTGCATTCCCAGTCCCGTGACTTTACAGAGGCACAAATGGACGGCAAAGATCCCTAAATAAGAAACAAAGGACTCTTCCTAAGCAACCTGATGCGGGTACGCCTTCCTTAAGAGTTTGGGAAGGAAAAATGAGTACGTCCTGGGTGAGGGAGTGAGGTACCACCAATATCTTCACAGTCTCCTGGTTCCTACTGCCAGGGCAGGTGCACGCCAGCTGTAAAGCACTCAGACCTGTGGCACCTTACCTTTCAGGAGATCGGCCACCTCGGTGTAAGACCGCAGCACTGTCAGGGACACTGCCTCCCCTGAAACACAGGAGAGACACAGCCCTGAGGGACATACAGGTGATGGACCAGCCCCACCTTGCTCTCTGACAAAGTTATGATTCTCTGCATCCTGAGGTCCTTCAAGTCTCTGAAGGACTCGAAAGAAATAAGGAAAATTGGACTTTATACTTCTGCGCAGCAGACAGCAACTAGGTTGTCCAGGCTATCCCATGGGCCCATGCTATCACAATTTCCCCTCTTGTCCTACATTTGGTCCCTGTAAGATGAAGGTTAAAAACCTACGAACATTGATATCTTTTATACTGAGAGATATCTTCACGCAGTATCAGTCAATGAGAGGAACAGATTTAATCTGATTGCTAACCATGGGTGGAGGCCCGTGGGACAGGATGTAGCACTTATTTATCATTTCAACTTGTCTACAGGATCGCCATAGTACAGAAAGCGTGGTGAGCAGCGCAAGCTTAGAGAAGGAACAGCCAAGCCACATTTGATACTCACAGCTGGCATAAAACAGCACCACCGTCCGGGCAGAATCCAGGAGGGTCGAGTGGAAGGTCTCCTCTGTCAGGACAAGGATCTGCTCCAGGGGCAGCTCTCGTTTCTTATCCCTGGAAATCGCTTCCACCACTTGATCATCCTGAATATCTGCAAGGGACCCACAGGCGCGCGTGAACACGGGTAGGCAGAGGCAGGACAGAGGGAACGGCAGCCCCCCGTGCCACCCCATCAGCATGTTTTGGTAAGGCAGCACCTCTCAGCAGAGACGTGGCGACTGTCAGCGGGGTAAGTAATTGCGTGATATGCAGGCGTGGAGGCAAAGGCACGGACACCCTCCCTGACAGACATACGAACTCACTGAAATGCACTTATGCCATCTCACGCCAGTTCTGCCCCCTCATTTCAACACTCTTCTTTCAGCATGTTAGCTCCTCTTGGATCCTGCGCTGCTTTTTTTTTTGGAAAACAAAACCAATTTTGCATGGAAAACAAATGTGTTTTTAAGGAAGCTTTGCAGGGGCCAGTGTTTTCTCCCTGGGGAAGGCAAGTCTGGAACAACTCTTACAAAAACATTGTGTCAAACCTTTCCAAAGGGACTGATAATTCTGAGGCTCTTTGTCTGATGCTGGAAGAGGAGATCGCATCAGGTACACTTTAAACCCCTCGTGCCCCTGAAGCTGGACGCATTCAAGCAGAAGCATCCCTGTCCCTCACGCAGCACCTCTGTGACTGTTCTCTTACAGCTGCTGATTTCCTTCCCTAGTGTTTCCCCTAAAAATTATGCCTGTCTGTCACAAAACCCCAGTGATATGCAGAGAATAAAAGAGCCGCTTTGTACAACTGTGATCTGACTGTGACGGTTTGCCTCGGATTTACAAAAGTGTTCTCTAGCGCTTCACCATACGCTTGCTGGCTCTAGCAGATGCTGATTGCACGTCCTATCTGGTGACAATCAGCTTTCCACTCTTCAGTTGCACACCTTGATTGTTATTCTCTTTCTCCTCCTCATCTTCCTCCTCCTCATCATCCTCCTGGATTTGCTCAACCTTGTTCTTATCTTCCACCAGGGTTATAACTTCATCAGTGTCTTCCAAAACCAGGTATTTGATTGGCACTCCCTAAAGCAAACAGAATAAATCAGTGGGAGCAAAACTTCACCCTTTGCCTATGCTGTCCGCAAACCAAACTCAAGGCTGATGGGGCGCCAGCACCCAACTCCTTATTTTCAGGTACAAGCTGCCAAACAGGGGAGCTTCTGGGGTATGTTTCTCTGGCCCAGTTTCACCTGCACATGAGTTTTTCTCACTCCAGACTGACTTGTCCTTGCGAGGAAGTAATTGTGGCTATACGGGATCCGGTGCCTGGAGTGGTGAGAGCAAACACTCGCTCCACCTCCCAGCATCTTAACGTGGATCCACCACTGCAAGAAAATGCCCAGTGGTCAAACAGTGAAGGAGAGTGGTGAGATACAGGGTCCCCTCAGCTTTCCCCTGCTCTAAAGGGGTCGGGCTGGGTCAGAGCAGCCCATCACAGCCTGGGAAATTGGCACCAAAAAATCCTTTCTCTCATGGAGCTCAACAAAGAAGAGTGTTCCAAAGTGTACATGGGCTGCCAACCCACAGAAAGAAAAGAGCAAAATGTATTTCTCAGAAATGAGACCTTAAAACCAGTTCTGGCACTGTCTCAGCAGAAGGCACTTCAGAGAAAATGAATTTTTTAATGAACTGAGAGAAATGACAAACTGCTGGCACCTCCTCTTGGCTCTAAGAGGAGAAACGCAACATGCACGTCTCTCACCAGGGCATGGGAAGCCCTCGGGGGATGCTCAGGTTCGGGTCTGATCCTGTATCTTTGTGATCACAAGTGTGACAGTTCAGGTAATCTGGGGCAACGTGTGCTCCCTGGCATTTGCCGGCGCTGAATTCCATCTTGCCTCACAAGCTGGGTCAGGTCCCTCCAGAGTTTAGCTCATCTTGATCAGCCTCATTTAACTGACACCCTGCCCTTTTCCCAGATCACTGCCAGCGGCACTCGGTTACATCAGTTTGGCGCAGACCTTTAGTTCTTTGCCTTTAGTTTGCTCTTGGTTTCACATTCATTTCCTCTCCCATCTTTTATAACGCCCTTCCTAAGGGGGCAAGGGCCTTTACAAGTCCAAACCTTCTGGGAATTTGCACTTGGACTACTACTTTAGGTAGTTCACAACCTTGTGTTGGCTTAAGGTGTCCTGGAGATGTCACCCTACATTTTATACCCAAAATAAACACTGTCTTTTGTCTCCTGTAAGCAGGCACAATTGCTCGGCAGTATCGAACTCAGGCAGTTCCAAATCCGTGCGTGCATCTGGGGAAAGACATTTTCCCTTGAGCTTCTGGGAAGGCTGTCAAATACAACGGAGCCGACCAACACCCCAACACCTCTGAAGAGCGCCATGCCCCAGTAGAGAAATAAAGAAATCCAGCATCTAACCTCATCCGGCGTCTTGAGAGCGACGTTTGACCGGAGCAGAATGTTCAAATCTACGAGGTCCCTTCCAAAACAAAGTGAACATTAGCTGGTACGACATGCGTGTTCACCCCCTCCATTCAGCCTGCCTGGCTGGCAAGCCCACCTCTCTCAGCAGCACCACGTCCTCATGGAGCTGTGCTTCAGAGCCCCTCAGAACTTGCAGGAACCCAGAATCCATCAATGTCAGTGGGGGAGAAACAGGCTCCAAGTGACCTTCTGGTGGGACCACACTGCATAGTGTGCCTATTTTGCAAGGGGCTTGGATTCTCTTTCTGTGATTTGGGTCTTTGCTCAAGCACTGGTAGCCACATCCCAGCGCAGCTGATCTGCTGGTGGACTTCAGCTCATGAGTACATGCATCCAAGCAGTGCCTCCACACAGGGAGGTACCAGGGTGGCAGAAAGCTGGAAGAAGAAAGGCCACCCCCACCCTTCCTCCATCTCCTCCCACTCGCACGGCTGCCAGCAGACATCCCCAAAGGCCGTACAGCCGTGCCTACAGGGGCTACACACCTCCTTTGGCAAGACATCATGGAAGCATTTGCAAACACAAGGCAGCCTGGTGTACGCAGGCTGCTCCTGATCCCGTGGAGCAGAGATGAGTAACCGGTGGTCAACCGCAGAGGAAGTCAACAGATCTCCACAGCACAGCTGCCCTATGGCCAGCCACAAGCGTGCCTCCTGTCCTCCTGGGGAACAAGTGTGCTGGTCTAACTGGGAGAGCCCTCATTGACTGAGGAGGCACCACATACCAAGTGGAGACCCCTGCCACATCCCAGCACCCACAGTCCACCTCCTTTACTGGATCTCCTTCTGCCCTTAATGCAACGGCAAAATACAAGCCTTCCATCCGTGCCAAGATTCCTTTCCAAAATCTCTCTTAGTCTGACTGCTTTTCCACTTCTAATTCAACAAGAGATTCAAACATTTCTACACTTCCAGCCAGCCTGAAACCAAACTAACCTGATTCTGGACAAGTCCTTAAATGTGACATCCTCTCGCAGGATATAGCCTAGTTTTACTGCCTCTCACACAAATCTGAATAAGCCCACTGACTGTGGGTTAACCGAGTTCGGAAACATCAGAAAAAGGAAGGAGAACCCCAAAACACCTGAGATCAAATACCTAGACAAAAGGGCAACTCCCGCTTTCCCCAAGAGCTGCCAGGCCACAAACTCTGCTGTCCTCTTGTCAGCCTCGTAGGTCTCTTTCTGGCTGAGGATGAACACAAGTGGTAGCCCAAGCTGTAAGTGAACAGTGGAAACCTTCTCTGGGTCCTCAGCAACCTCTGTCTGGAGAAGAGACATGGTTATACTGCAGCATATCTCCACACCGTTGAAGGTGCCTCAGTTCTTCTGCAGAGCCCAAGCCACCATGTGTTTCGCAGCCACAGAAATAAGGATAACCTCAAGAAAAAGCCTCCAACCTCAATTCTAAAACATCCATCGAAGCAGAACCCACACAACCCTGGTTAAACTGTCCCAACCTGTCATGACCCTCCCTGTTAAAAACCTGGGCTTTATTATGCATGTTCTTTGTGACTTAGCAACTCCAGATGTCAAATCTCCATTAATTTTTATTTACCTGGCACCCATTCCCCAGAGCAGTTTGAAAATCTTGGCCACAACATGCAAGAGCTGGCATCCTCTCCCTTCCTGCCTTGGACATGCTGCTTCATGACAGCACGGACCTGCTTAACGAAGTGCCTTCCCTGCATGGGCCTAACCCAGAAGCCCAGCTGAAGGAGGCACTTTCCAGCTCATCCACCCGTCCTTCCAGCTGGGCAGAGATGTCACCAGTGGGAACCGAAGGCTTGCTGAAGTTCACTGCCCAGTGGGAAGAGGAGATGGGAGGCAGCCTCCTGCTCCCCGTGCTCCCCAAGGCATGAATCACTGATATCCCTCTCCCCAAGGTGCTGAGACTCCCATGGGGACACTAGAGGAGCAGCTCAGGGCTTTGGGTTTGTCTAGTTTGGAGAAAAGGAGGCTGAGGGGTGACCTCATGGCTCTCCACAGCTTCCTGAGGAGAGGAAGTGGAGAGGGAGGTGCTGATCTCTTCTCCTTGGTATCCTGTGACAGGACACGTGGGAATGGCTCAAAGCTGTGTCAGGGGAGGTTCAGATTGGACATTAGAAAGCATTTCTTCACCGAGAGGGGGGGTCATCAAATGCTGGAACACGCTTCCTAGAGATATGGTTGATGCCTCAAGCCCATGAGTGTTTAAAAGCCATTTGGACTATGCCCTTAATAATTTGCTTTAACTTTTGGTCAGCCCTGGAGTGGTCAAGCAGTTGGACCAGACTGTAGGTTCCTTCCAACTGAAATATTCCATCCATTCTATTCTATACTATGCTATTCTATATATCCCAGTGAAGTCCAAGGGACACCTCCACCCCATTCCCACTCATGGTGCTCACAGACAACTGGAGGAGCATACATTGGTGCCAGGGCTCCCTGGAAAGGTCTAAGCAAGCTGAGCAGTGCAATGCAGTGTCGCTCCTGTCCAGCCCTATGCCCGTTCCTTGCTTGGACCCATCCTGGGAGCTCCGTCATTAACCTCATAGGGAAGGGGCAGATTCTCACCTTCCACTCACACCTCCTTCATCCTCACATCCACCCCAACTGCCCTCATGCCCGCAGCCCAAGTGGCTCCTCTTCCCCAGTCATACCACCAGAGGAGCCCCCATGAGCTTGAGGTGCCTGTGGATGTTGAGCATCGTCAGAGCCTGCTCCATGGCTGTCCTCCTGCAGGGCTGTGCCAGGTCTGTGGCCTGCTGGCAGTGGCAGAACAACAGCCGAGCAGATGACACATCAAGCTCATCATTGCTGTGAGAGAGAAAACAAAAACCATGGTGAGCTAGGGATCTACTGCCAGGTTTTAAAACGCCCTGATGGGATGACTCATGTTCGTTGACATGTTTTACAGGTCAGGTGATCCTCAAGTTCAGGGTTTGGCAGGCTTGTGGGACCTCTTCAAGAGCCCTACTACTGATGGGTACAATTGTGTCCAGGTACCTTTCAGAACTGTGCTGAACATCTAATGAAGAGCCTGGCTCACCAGGTGTAAATGACTCCAACCCCAGAACAGTTGACCCAGCTCGAGAAGGACACAAATTAAGCTTTTCTCAGTGGGATCAGCCAAGCCACTGCAGTGGAGACCCTGGCAGGAGGAGGAGAGCTGATGTCTACAGCTTTGCTCATGTCTTTTACCTCACCAATGACATCTTACAGACCATATAAGGAATATTCCACCTTTTGAACAGCATTGGTTTTGGCTGTGCCAAAGGACGCAGCGAGATCGAGTTGCTTGGATGGTTCCCTGGTTAGTGGTTCCTGCTTTGACACCATCACTGGTCAGCTTTGGGAGGTCACATTTCTTTTCCTACGCACCCATTCCCCACCTCTAAAACAGGGATCACCTTCTTTGTAAAGGCTTTAAGACCTCTCTGTGGAAGAGCTGTGTGTAGTATTAAGACCCCAAAGCCTGACGCCCCGGTTGGCTGAAAGCTGTTCATGTTGGTGAAGCTACCACCATTTCATCAGCTAAAGAGATGGCTTGCTGGTGTCCTCTCTGTTTTAAGCAGAATGAAGCCAATTCCTGTCCAAATGACAACCGTGCCATCTAGTGGCAGCCACAAAATGCTATCCCCGATCACAATCCTGGTCCTGCAAGGATGGGATGGCACCTCAGGGAAGGACCGCTGTGAAAGCAGGCAGATCCTTGCATAAATGCTTTGCTGAAGTTGCAAAGTGGTCTTCCCACCTTCCTCCCTCTCAGCTTCCCGACTGCAGCGGGTCACATTGAAGGATCTGCCCTTTTAATGCAGGTCCTCCTGTGCGGAAAGGGGATGGCCCGAGCTGACCAGCTCCAGTGAAGCCATGGGGTGGGAAGTCCCAAATGCAACACTCCAGGCAGCAGCGCCTCATGCAGCCCAACTGCAGAACTCACTGCTGCCTGAAGTTGCTGAGATGAAAAATAAAAATGTGTTTAAAAACTTCTGGTGGCTGTTAACACCATGATGCAGGTTCAGCTCCCATCTCTCAGAGTCCTGAAACCTCTGATTGCCAGAAGATGGGAGGCTGCAGGCAACATACATCCATACCCTCATACCCCTTGGTAAGCACCTATGGCCACTGCAGAGGTAAGATACGGAGCTGGGTGGCCTTTGCGCTGACCCACCATAACAGTCCTAACCCTTCTCAGCTGGCCAGACGTGCTCACCAACGCACAAGGCCAAGTGTTTGAAGACTGTAACATCAGCTGTATCAGCCCCCCTGAAAACCCACGGCTGAGGTTTGATCCATCAGCTATGGAAAGGAGCCAGAGGGCTCTTCTCCTGTTAAATCCCATTCAATGAACAGTCACAAATGGCATGGCTAGTCCAAGTCTAGAAACACAAGCAGCAACTGGTTTTGGAAAAGCAAAACAGATCTGAGTGTCCACCCTTGGCATAACATCCTAATACCATCCCAGATTTGGTCTGGGAAGCTGAGAAACCAAGAATAGAGCAAACAGTGCAGGGGAGAAGCTGTACCTGCTGCACGTGTGTGTGCGGTTTGGACATACCCAGTGTCTTTCAACAGCGTTGCCTCAGTTGTCAGAACAAACTGGTGGACAGTCCCATAGACAAAAGCCACCTCCATCACGGCTCTGTGCTCTGGAAAGAAAAAGGCAAGATGAACTCATCTCAGTTCCCTCCACATCTCCCTCTTCATCCTTCCCAGTTGCAGATATCAATGCCCAGGCTCTCAGAAACTCTCAGTAAAAAGTCACAGCTGTCTGAAGACACTCACTGTGAAGGTAACTGAGTAACTGGAGCTGAACCCAGTTGCTGATCCACACACACGTGGTCTAAGTGAACCCATGCTACTGCATAACCAGAGACCTACCAATGGGTCTAATTATTTATTAAGACAGCAACCGCTGGCTTCCTTTCCCTCTCAAGTCCATTTCCAAAAGTTTGTGTGCTCCCAGCAAAACTTTTCTGGTGCACCTCATCCCTTTGGAAACACAGCAAAGCAGACAGAGGTGGAGAACTTGGGTCTAGGTGGCCCTTTCAGGTTTCCTTGATTGTCCCTTTGCAGGGGTTTGGGTCAGAAACCCAGCTCCCTTCCACCTTAGTAAAAAAAGCGCTGGGAGGAGAGAAAAGATGAAAAGCTGAGTGCTAATACCTGCTGTCCCGGTAGCTGGTACATAGGCAAAGACCATGTTCGACCTCCCCTTCAGCGTATTTTCAATGTTCTGAAGATCCGCCAGTGTTTCAACGTATTTAACTTCATTAAAGAGCAGGGCACTGAGGAGTCAGAAAAAACCTCATTAGCAACTGTTTTAAGAGTGAATTTGCAGCCACATAACCATGATGGGAAAAACAAGGTAAAATTCCAGCTTCTTGCTGGCAGATTGAAGATTCACAGCCAAATACAGCTGCCCAGATGTGTGCTGGTGAGTCATCTCAAGGGCATAGATGTAACAGGGTCAAACCATAGCAAAGAGAGGAGCAGCCTTCTGCTTGGCTGAGAGCAGCCTCTGGAATACGTGAGGTTCGTATTTATGCAAAACTTTGTATCAACAAGTGAAAATGGAAAGGAAATGATTTCCCAGAGATGCATCTGGTCTGTACTTACAACAAAACGTTAGCAACAATGGAGTTCACGTCAAACAAGGCATCGGTGGGGAACTCTCTGATCAGCATGTTACCTCTGCGGAGGGAAGAAAGAGTATCACCAAAGAAATGACGAAAGATTAGCTAAATTAATTTTCATTCTGCCGAATACCTCCAGATGTCTGCTGGCAGGTATGGCTGGAAAGAAAATGTCAGGATTGAATTTGGGGATTTTGTAGGACTTGGCGTCCAGGCAATGCTGTTTTAGTGAAGTCACCTCTGTCAGTGCCGTTTCACTCTGTTGATGAGAAGCCTAGCACAGACTGACAGAAGGTCTCTATATACCAAGCATCATCCTGTAGACCCTTACCACCAGAGGAAATGTTTCTGTGGGACATGTCCAACGAGAGACATGTCAGTGAGAACTGAGCTGATGCAAGGAGAAGCTTCCAGCTGACGACCCATGGAGAGACCAAGAGCTAAACCTTCTCATCCAGGGCAGATGAGCTAACCACACCAACAGGAAGAGCACCAAAGAGTGTTTCTTTCTAAGAGTAGATCCAAAACCCGGTGGACTGAGTGCAACTCCGGAGGACCCGGTGGTGGGAGCCCACAGGGACAGAATAACGCCGACGGAGGATTTCTCTCATGGTTTCACGTAGCGGCACAACCCTCTGCCGCTCAGAGGAACGTGGGGCAGCATGGGAGCTTTCACAATGAGGACAAAGCACCTACTTTGTCTGTGTTGGACCTTTTGGGGGTATTTTTTGCTAAACTCTGTATGTCACTGCTGTCCTCGTGGCTCCTCTCTCCCTGTGCAGACATCTCTCTGATCACCGACAGCGTTTCCCCCAACGTTTGGACTGGGGAGTAATCACAGTGTGGTGCCCAGAAAGCCCCCACCTCACCTGAACAGGTAGGCTTTCCTTAATGCATTTTCTTTTCCACAATATCTTGAGACATCCTCTTTGGGACAATTAACCTAGACATTGAAAGCACGTAATTAGACATTCAGCTCCACAAATGACTACAAACATACAGCACTATGGTTTTCTTCCATTCCAGAGTGTAAATACAGCCTTTCCAAACCTGCTGGGAGAGAAAACACAACAAAATGGAGTCCAGAGCTGTGGACTGGAGTTTGTGCTTCAGTTGGGTCAGACGGGATCAAGAGATCTTAGGATCTGCCCGGCATATTCAAAGGGACAGATCGCCGCTTGCTTATTAAACTCAGCCTGTATCTGGTGGAAATTAAATACATGCACGCGTATACGTAAGCACTTCTTATAATCTAATTACACTTGCCTGAATTTGTAATTCCCTCACCTAAATCTGTGTAAAACTTCAGCTAAAACCCCCTTCATACGAAATATGAAAAAGGGAGGCAGTGGGGTAAATCCCACCTTGTGACTGAGACCGAGGGCTGATGCCGTCCCGTGCAGCGCGCTGGCGATCGTACCGTCCCCTGCGCCGTGCCCGTGGGCACACAGCAATGGCCGGGCAACTCCACGCGCCCCGTGCAGCTGCTGGGAGGCCAGACTAGATCAGCCGGCTACACCTGAACCGTGGGGTAGCCCATGAAAAAGACCGATCTGCGGGAAAAAATGCGAGAAGCTGAACGTCCCCTCAACCCGTGAATGCACATGAAGCCCATGGGTTCATCTACTGAGACTGAACTGGGAGGCCAGGAGCAGCTCAGGGCACTGCCAGTCTTCTGCTTCACTGTTTGGAGACACAGGCACAACATCGAGCCTTTCCCGGACACAGGAGCCTGCTCGTGTCCCGTAGGCAAAAAGGGTGACGCAACCCACAGGCAGCAGATGTAAGGCCAGGGCAAGGGATAAAATGGGATGTCCTGGTCTGCCAATACCTGCTTTCTGGTGGGGTCCCACTGCTGTCAGTCCCCAAAGCGGGGTGAGAGAAGTCCTACAGAAATAATCTGCACAAATAGCCCGTCCTGCTCCTCATCCCCAGTTACCTTCACCACCGAAATGCCGTAGTCCTGGAGGGCCTCGGCCGAGTTCCCAATCTGCTCCAAGAAGGGCTGGGCACCAGGAGAAACTGAAACAACAACAAAACCCGCTGGTTTCCATCCCTTCCCCTTACGGCTGAGGCAGATGCGAGTACCTTCAGGGTAACAGCACGCTAAGGTCCCCATGCAAACACCCCTGGGACATCTGAGCAGACCCGAGCAGGGCAAACGGGGAGCCGTGGCGTGCTGCTGGCGGAGGTGCCTGCGGGGACGCGGCTGGCGGGGACACAGGGTCTGGGACTGGTTTTGTCAGACGGGTGCTGCTGGGCTGGGCTGCAGGTCCTCAGAGTCACGAGCATCCTCCTGCCACGCGCTGAGACAGCGCTTGACACAATATGGACTTGCTCTTACTCAAAAAACAAGGTATTTACTGAAATAAAACTAACTATGGGCAACAACACAAATGGCCAGGGACCGCCCACCTTCCTTTCTAACACAGCCAGCCTTCAGTGCTGACATGGGAGCTGCGTTGGTCCCAGATGTCTCTGGGAAACCATACCTGGGGCTCACGATGGAGCAGGACAAGAGAGGCAAGGTCAAGGATCTCCCCGTAATTCTTGGCAGCCCTTAGTTCCCCCGTATGCCAGGGATCCCCCTCTCCCAGGGAGGTACCATGGAAGAGAAACCCAGTCCCTTTGAGGAGACAACTCCTTACCAGGCTGGGTTTCTCTTCCATGGTACATCCAGAAAATAATCCAGAAAATGAAT